ACGAATTTACTGTAGCAAATAAATATAAATAAACATCAAATAAAAATTATTCAATATTTATTTCACCCCCCTGTATAACGTAACGTTTTTTTATCCATGGCCAACTTAAAGAATTCACAACTGATTCAATTAAGAAGTGATACATTTGTAAAGAATAAAGTATCTTTATCCGAATCTAAGTGATATACAAGAAGTTATTCAAGTATTATTTTCGACAGCAGGAAAACTAAACTTTCCTTTTATATTCGGAAAAAAGAAAAAAATCTAAGAATATATAACGTAAACAAATTGAATAGGGTTTCTATTCCCGGGAAATAAATAAATATGAAATTACCGCTGTTCTTCAGCAAATCATCTCTTATGTGAAATCGTCAGCAATATTTTGTTTTTGCTCTTTTGGTTGGAGAAGCTTTTACCGGTATTTCATTTGAAGGAATATAATTCTGAACATTTCGCGATATTTTCTGCAATTTTAAATAGTAGTCCATGACGCGACTTTGATGAAAGATGAAGCCAGGTTAAAAGACATTTTGGAAAGTGCTTCAGGTAAATATATCTAGATTGATACCTTAAAGAAATACGTTTTCTCTATAATTTCTGCCAGTACATATGCTTGATCAACACTATCTGGAATTATGAAATTTGTAAGGGTGTCGACAATATGCAATCCTCCTTTGAAATGCATTACATAAATCGTCGTCTCCCGCTCTAAAGTGAATGATTAATTATTAGAATCAGTCAATCAGCAACAAACACAACATGAACGTGTTACATACGATATACAAGCACTCCATAACTCTGGATACATTCAAGCTGTTCTTCCGTGGCATTGCGTTGCAGATGATACTGTCTTTGATAAAAAATTGATATAACCATAGCTACAAAAGATAAATGAGAATAACCAAATTTATAAGCTTTACCATGTAAAGATATCAAAAATATGAATACAGACCTTTAAGTAATTTATCCAGGTCATTATGCCGTTTTTTCTCATCCACCAACACTGCATTACCCACGACTTCCAAAAATCCCACTTCTATTTCTTTAGCATTCATGCAGATCTTGAGGAGTCCATCATAGTTCGTCCCGAGGTTGACACGCGGATTTTGCCCCTTAGTCTCGTTTCTGTGTTTTTTTCGCAAGGCACTCTCCAACTCTCCGCTAATCAATATTTATAACATAACGTAGTTCATTAGAGACTATATATACAATCTAATAATAGCTATTTGTTACCAACATACGTTTTAAATCTGATATTAGCGCTCACATCGTCGAAGGCTTTAGGAATTATCGGGTTAACGAATGATTCCCTATATGCAAACTCAGTTTCATCCGGATCATGAAGTAAATTAAAGGGCATGGCAAATAGGAGTACACTAAAAATAGAGATTGCATTAGCTGATTATACTGTAACATATTAAATAATACGGTTACCTACAATCGCTTATAGACGTCCTGCATCCACAACAGGTCGTAATGAGTCTTAAATATAAGCTTTCCCTCAAATGGCTTTTCAAAAATAGTCTCCAATGACGATTCTTCTTCGTCAAAAACCGATTTTACCTCAACAGCAGATGAATATTTATTGACGAGTTGTTTCATGCTTTTTTCCCATTTTGATCGACGTAAGGTGTTTGATTTCTCTTCATCTGATGGTTCACTCTATATTAATAAACAAAGATTATGATTGGTTTAAATCTAAAGCTCTAGGTAGATAGTACGTACATTATTCCAGAAATTCCTCATCGCCTTCCTCTCATCGTCTGTAAAGACTTTGTTTACTGGGTCCATTTGATCTCGCTCAGAAAGGTTGACAATTCGATAATCGAAAAGACGGTGGCTTATTCCCCTCATCTTTGCAATAAACACTTGGACTTCGGTTGACACATCCTCCATTTCGTCGTCGGATTCAAAAAATTCGTCATCATCGTTAACCCCGAATGGCCGTTTTTTTTCATACATGTAATCTTTGTTGTCGGTACTCTTTTGATGCTTTTCTCTTGCTACCTCGCATGGAGACGTATTGCTTTCACCATTACTCTCTAGGTCATTAACACTTTCAGAGGGATTCTCATATTGATTTGTACTCACGAACGATTTCAACTTGTTAGATAGATATGTTCTTGCACTTTCCGAATCATTAACTGAGCTCTCTATTACGCTATCAACATATCTTAACTATTTTCACAATATCAATCAGTTTCTTTCTGCGTATAAACGACTAGGATATAAACAACAATTCATTACCGAATTTTTTTCGATTTTGCTTTTACTTTGCTCTGACTTTCGAGCATCTTCGATTTCCCGCCAAAATCTCTTGTCCATTTTTTCATTTGTTATCTATAATAAAAATAATATGAATATTGTAAATAATACATTCCATGAGGTTTACTGACAAAGCGGGGTGACGGAAGGCGGGAACGGAATCCCATTAACTCCCTGTATTACCACGGGGCGGTACCCGCGGGAGTCCCTTCAAGGTCACCCCTACACTCTAGCACGAACAGTTGTCATCAGCCGAGTGCTGAGACGGAAGGCGAGGAACAGAACCCACTACTCCTTGTATTATCACGGGGCGGTACCCGCAGGAGCGCCTACATCTCTTAGCAGGAACAGAACCCGCATTTTCTTTAAACCAATACATAACCTTATCAATAAATTTTTCCTCGCTTGTCATTTGTTGTGCAATTCGAATAAAATCTTTCTTCCAGAGGGAACTCTTGTCTGGCCATGGACTGCCGTTAAGTTCTTCAATTATTAAGGGTTTGTTATTTTTTAAAAAATAATTGTAAGACCAGCTTGCGGGACGATGCATTTCCAGGTATGATTTTATTGCTATTTATAACAAGTAGTGTTAGGGTGTTAAGATAGACAAGCAAGGTTATAACTAATAAACAATGATACAGAAACTACCTTCGTCAACTTTAGAGCACATTTTGTTCATTTCGTTTTCAGTAACGAAAGTAAAAAAATTATTTATCGGCCTAATGTTACACTTCGGACTACTAATAAATTCGCGATCACATGATATTAGCTAATAAGCTCGATCACATGCACATGATTAATGCTTTATTATTTTTGCATAATCAAATGATTTAGAACTGTGTTATGATTTTTCAGATACAGAGATTTTAGAAAAGGAAATGAAATATATGATGCTATCAAAGAGGGAGGGAGTACGCGGATCCTAGGCCATTTAATGCGAGTCCCAGCATCAAGTTATTTCTTTGCTCTCGCACATTTACGGAAAATATCTATAACTTGTTTCTACTTCTATTGCTAATTACGTGATTATCTATATCTCTCCCAAACACACAGATTATTATTCCTCGAAAGAGAACTTCTCTGAGATTAAGAAATTTCGAACCTATAGTATAATTACGGAAGTTAGCAACTGAGATAAAAAATAATACAATAATGATTTACACTTACCATTACGATTCATTTTCACATAATTCCATTCCGCCTCATACATAAGAAATTTATTGCTTAATTTTTTCTGCAGTATCGCCGGTACTATACTGCGCAAAGTTTCAAGAATTCAGCACGTGAAGATGCTTATATGAGATAAATTTTTTGATGTTGTGGCGTTGCATGTGACGAGATTCATGTAAGTAATTTCACTGAGTCTATTGTGATTTTCTCAGCGAAGATCAAAATGCCGATATATAACAAGAAGAGCAATATGTCCGTTTTATTTTGGAACATCTATAGAGGCGGGAAATTTGATTAACGTGTTTCAAGAATCTAGCCGAACAATAAACCAACTTACTTTATTATTACTTTGCGGAAAATACGAATTTGATTGGTTAGAGATATTGTTGATGCAAATAATGGTAAGTTAGATTGGTTTGATTAGTTTTGTTATACTTGCATGAGGCAGATAAAAGGATTCACTAGTCGGGACATTACCTTTTTATACAATTTGCAGGATCGATCGTGGAATACGCTTTTGGGGAAAATTACGTTAATATGAACACATCATGAAAATCTGATCGACGGCTTCTCCTTAATTTAACAATAAAGAATTTAACGCTACCCATATGTAAAGATCATCAAGGGCCTCTTTTTAATAATATACTGTACATAAGAATTTTAGAATAAATTATTTTGCGCAATTACTTATTCCTGTGATTGTGACGTCTTTATTAAATGTTACTGCGCATTTATTTATCAAGTTCTGGATTGATATATTAGCATATATGCTTCACACAATCCCATAATCCTCTCCATTTATATCTGAGTTTGGCAAATTAATTGTTCATACGAGGTCAAAAAAAAATTCTTTTGGCAATGATATGCGCATTTTTTAGGTGATCGAACTGCCTATGCTACAATCGCGAACTGAAATTTATTTCTTGTGACTAGTAAATCAATAACTACATAAAAAACACACAGATAGAATATTTCTATTTATGCTAAGGAGTATCGTATCCCATATCACTATCTTCATCGCCAGGACCCAGATTCTCAATTTCCTTATTAAAGGCTGTGATATCGTTCGAAGTTAATGAGATGGAGTTATCCTCATTGCCTTCATCAGAATCAGGATCAGAAGGTAGATTTTTAGCTTTTCTTTCACGACCTAGCATTTTGTCATGAGTATTACTTTCTTTGTGTTTATTTAAGGTTTTCTTCAATGCGAAACCTTTATCACATACGTCATACTAATTTTGGACAGCTAAATACAAAATGCTACTTTCATTAGCATAATAATTTATCAATTATTGTTCAGACCTGGGAATTATGAAACACCCATCTTGGACTACAAGATGAATTTTATTTGGATCTGAATTATTAAAATGCAGTCTGATTTTTCTGAATCCTTCTATAATCCTAATACCTCCTGTAACGGACTCAACATTTGAGTCAGTGTTTTGAAGTTATTCAAGCACTACCCTATTATCAAGATCAATATCTACTGATCATAACTTGATGCCAAGACTACTATATTCAAAAGTACTTCTCTGATTTTCTCTTATAGCTTCTCGAAGGTCACAAATAAAATCATTTTCATCGATTTTAATTCTAAACTGGCCTTTAATAGGATTCTCTTTAACAATACAGTTAAGGGTAATTTTAGTCCTTTTGGCCAATTTTTCGTACACAGGCAAACCCATTCTTGAAGCTGATATATATCCGTATTTATATTTCAATTTTCAAAGCATCTTTCCCATGACAAACCTGTTATACACTGATAATCACTGCAGTTAATGACCTTCAGCCTACGGCTTTGGTGGCTTTAGCGGCTTTGGCATTAGCTCTGGTGCTAGTACTGGAGCTGGAGCTGGCACTGATATTGGCTTTAGTAGCATTGGCATTTATGCTGGAGCTGGTATTGGCATTAGCTCTGGCATTGAAGGTGGCGGAGCTGGCATTGGCATTGGCACTGTATGGTATATGGAAAATTATATCCCTTTTTGCATGGTGATTTTTACGCAAAACGCAAAAGTTGTAGATTTCAGCAATTACAAAGTTTCCGTCACTCACAACATATAATTTATCACTAATAATACTGACAAGCCCTTCCCTTTTATAGCTTATTCAGATTGTCTTCTGTGATCGTCTCCACTGAAAAGCATTTTTTGTATTTCTTCAAAAAAAAGACGGTAATTAATAGTATACGTAACTATCTAACAGAATGGTCAATACTCCAGACTAGCTGAATCAGGCGAGATCTATAGAGGATATGTACTACTAATTCCTTTGAGAATCTCACATGACAACGATTCCCATGAATATCACTGATATAACGAATGAAAAAACAGCAGATAAGACCAAAAATAGCATGCTTCCCGAAGAGTTGAGTGATATGGGATCTGTTAAACTGAACATGATATAGATAGAGTAATATATAGTAATTTTATTGAGAATTTATTGATAGATCAAGTTTTTTAGATATTAATGATTGATTGCAATTCTCTTGTGTAAATGTGTTAGGAAAAAGGTTTATTTTATATTGTATGCTTATTACGCGTGAAAAGAGAATTTAACCCGATTTATAGATCAAATAAAAAATTACGTTGTTTCATTACATGTATTTGTCATAATTATATTTTTCATAATTACATTTTTTCCACTATAACAGCCTGGATCCCATCTAATACAATACATCTAATAATAACAAATGTCTCTCCTTGAATTTAACAATATGGCTTAAAATTAAATCTAACGAATTACGATTTTATGATAACTTAATATTTATACTAATAGAACAATGCCATGTCTCAAAATTTTCCATTTATTTCTAAGATTTCTTATAGAAGATTGCATGTGATGCATGTAAACGCATCTTTGTTTGAATTTACAACCCCTATTTTAATATAAAATAGATGAATCAAGGTCTGTAAATGACAAATCACACATGTATAACTAATTTCTATTCAAAAAATGGATAAATATGTTATTACTCATACATGTAATTTGTATGCGCTAACGTTAATAGAATAATAAAAATATACCATTTATCTGAGGATCCATAAATCATTGATTCTAATCAGCTCTATTTTCATTTTTGAATTTTTTTTTATCAACGTCTTATCTTACGATCCGCAAAATATAAATCAGAGATGTGGTTTTTTTATTAGTAATTCAGAACTGTGTAATGAGTGAGTTAGAACATACTAGAACTTCTTTCAGCTTGATGCTAAGAAAATTTCATTACTATAGCAACACAAAAATATTGCTCTTAGCCAGGGTTATTAATAGATCCTTTAAAAATAATGACTGCAGATGTTAGTGACATATTATTATGCATAAAATATTCTGCAGATCTGCGTAGTAGTGTATTACTGCAAAGAAGAATAAATGACAGTTTACTGTGCATGATATCTAAGCCACCTACGTGATTCAAAAAAAGAAAGAAACTATATAACAATTCAGGATTAGACCAATAACCAAATCACCAAATAAATTATGAAGTTTATTCATTATTAGCTAGTAGTTTATTGGCTCTTTTCAATAAATCATAAATATATTATTGAGGTTTATTTGATTATATCATATGATTTATATTTTATTCTAAAATCAGAAGTTTAAAATTTTACTAAAAATATATATATATTTATTATATTAAAAAATATAAGCTAAAATTAATACTATTGATTTATTACATATTATTATTAATTATTAATATTGTTATTAATAAAATTCAGAGCTTCTAATCCTTCTGGAAATAATTCAGATAAACACTATTTTGAATTTTGATCATGTGCAAGATGTACACTTTCGGGTGTTAGAATATTAAAAGTTATATCATAATCGTCTTGATTAATATCATCACTGATTTTTTCATTCATCAAATCGATCCAATGTTGAATTGTAGTTCTCTAAGTTAATTCTATATCTTCTGATAATTCTTGATTATCATCACTTTCACTTACTTCATTTTCACTTATTGAATGAGATTCATCATCAGATAAATCTAAATTATTTTGATTTTGTAAATTTGAAATTGAAGTTGATTTTTTATTTTTAGATTGAAGTTTTACTCGTATTATTTCTCTGTGTAATTGACTCATCATAAGAACTTTATTATACTATAAATATTTAATATATTAATAAAATTTGATTTTAAAATAAATTAAATAAAATAGTAAATAAAATTAACCTTAAGATGGCTACGACTAGGACTATGTATATTTTTCATAGATGAAAATAATTGTTTTACAGATGCAGAATTAATGCATATATCAAAAATTCGACACTAATGATGAGGGACAAAACCCTTTAATAACAGTCGAAACTTAGACAAAACTATATTAAAATCATAATAAGGGATACGACGAAACTCTTTCGATATGACGAAAGCTAAAACTGTCGAAACTATATTAAAAACATAGAAAAGGGTATGATGAAATTATTTTGAGGAGGTTTTGGCAGGCATCTATATTCGACATGCTACTAAAGCAAGTTCGCTCCCATCTTTTCCAATTGAATTCTAATATTTTAATATATCACCTTGAAATTGATTATAAACTGTAATCTGATATAGAAATTCGTGTTCATTATAATCTTCAAATTCAAGAAGTATTCATTGAGGTTCTTTTTCAAATCATACTTTATAATAGTAAATAAGCCAACCTTTAATATAATGTGAAACTTTCAAATGAATATTTTGATTAAAATTAGTTTTATGATAAATTGGATGAAGCCAGAATGAAAGTAATAATAAAGGTTGCTCCCATTATACCCAACGCCTTTCCAAACGATCAATTATTTTTCTTGAAAATTCTTCATTATTATGACAACTATAAAGTTTATAAAAATATCCAAAGCAATGTAAAACTTCATATAATTTTGCTGCATCTCGTTGAAGTTTATCAAGTGCATTACATAAAAAAATTAAATGGTCTCTAAGAATTGTCAAATTAGACTAAAAGCCATCATCTTTAATTATATTATAAATATAAACTTTTAAAGGTTTATCCTAGGTTGATAAATTTTCATATTTAGTAACAAGAATCTTAAGTGCAACTTCAGTTTTAACTAAACTATTAAAACACATATAATAGCTATTCCATCTTATTACACATAGATGTTGTAAAGCAATTATTTTACTATAAATTAAATTTTGTTCTTCACGAAGTTTTTCCAAAAAATAAGATGAAGTATTAAAATATGAAACTAACTCTATTGCTTTAGTTGATACTTCACGATAATCTAAAGATTCTTTAAACATTTCACCTACAACTAAATTAACTTGATGTATGAAACAAGGTAAAAATAACAATTCACAATATTTTTGATGTAAAAATGACCTAGCTACAGTATATGCACCAGCAGAATCTGTAACTATACAAATAATTTTTAATCCTTTTTTTTACTTTCATCTAATCAGGTTTCTATTTGATTAATAGCTTCTTTGGATCTTGATCGTTTAGCAAAAATATCCTTTGCTTTTCATACAATACTGCGTCCTGATGATGTAATTATTACAGTTTCAAAAATTGACTGTTTAACTACATTTTTCCAGCTATCGAATGCAACCGTAAGACTAATTTTTTCTGATTATGTAATTGATTCAAGTGATAATTTAATATCTTTTGCTGTGTCTTCTAAAATACTTTCAGCTAGATTTTTTCTTGATGGTAAAGATAATAATGGATTAGCAAAATGAATCATTTCTCATGTTTCATCATTTTCTACCCATCTAAATGGCCAACCACAAAATACAGTAGCTCTTAATACAAGATTATACCAATGTTTAGTACTTTCAGTGGTAAGTCGTCGAGGCATATAAAAAAGAATACTGTCATTACTTGGTTAAATATTAAGAAAAGTAAGTTATATAGATTGCGTAGATAAGGATGTGAAAGTAGAATTAATACTTGGTAATGTAGAAACTAATGAAGTTATATCTTGATTATCATTGTCATTTTTTCTCAATTGTTTTTTGCCACGTGTTTTTCTAACCATTTTTGATGATCTTCTTCTTATTCTTAAAGAATACTAGCATATATAGAAACCCATTCTTCTTCATTAAATTGAACCTTAAATTGTAAACAATCTTTTAAATAGTTTTGACACCTTTCTCTCTTATTATTCATTTCTTTAACTATTAATGATAAATTATTAGCATTAATACAAGCTAAATATTTAGCGGTCTTATATATTTTATTTCATTTTTCATCTAAAATATAAAAGTAACTGGTTCATTTGTATGGTAGTTTACCACTATGTGATTTTTTTGACATTATTAAAATTTTTGATTAAAATAAAAATATAAAAGTAAAAAAGAAAGTTACTTTAATTTTCAAATTATAAAGTAATCTAATTAATAAAATTAATCCTGCAATTCCATATTATTTTTTTGAAGAGAAATAATATTATACATATTAATGTTTTTTTTCTTCTTTGATAATGAACGGAAAAAAGTTAAACAAACTTTCTTTCCTTTTTTTTGATTTTATAAACGAAAGAAAAAAAAAGGCGAAACTTTTTTTCTTTCTTTGAATTTTTACAAATGGAAAAAATGCATAAATGGAAAAAATGTAATGAACAAAAAAAATTTTTTTCGTGATTACATTTTGATTGATAATCAATAAATCATCAAAATTCAATAAACTCAACGATATAGGATAATAAACTCCAATAAATGATCGGCAATTAGAAGTTTATTGTATTTATTAGAACAAGTAGCCAGTACTACACCTCAATAGCCAATAACTAAATAAACTATTACTGGCTTATATTATTATTGGCTATTAGCTATTAAGGTTCAATAAACTTATAGCCAGACTAACTCTGCAACAATCCAGTTTATGCGAACATGTGATTCTCTTGATAATTCTTCTAGGCAGTTACTAGTGAAATAATAGGACTCATCATTAAGGAGGTTTTTCTTTTATATCCTCTGTCATGATAATAATAACCTTTATCATATTTACCATATTTATTATATCCACTGTAATTATTATATTCATCATCATCTGAATTGTCTGGCATTTCTTCTTCAGAATCAACAGAATCAGAGTCATTGTCTAACTTACTTTCGTTTGTTTCTCTCCCTAATTACGAAACAGCTTCTTTATTCATTTTTTCACTGACTGGAGTGTGGAATCAATTTCCTTATCAAAATACACACAATCCTTCGCACAATCTTTCAAGAGCATTTGTAAAAATTGTTCTCAGCTTCGAGCGAAATGCTTGGGCTGACTTCTTTAGAATCATCAGAAGAATTAGAGTCATAGGTTAAAGGGATAAGTGCTGTTGATTCGCTTACCTCTGCTGAAACCAAGGGATTCGCTCACACTTCTGATGTATCAGTTTGACTGAAAAAATCATCATTAATAAAATTGTTCCGATCCTCACTGAAATTCATACTGAGCTTATTTGAAAAATGATCCATAATCTTTTAGATTTTATCATTAGTAAATTTTGATATTTCATTTACACTATACGACTTTATATACTAGATTTTATCCAATCCTATTTTTTCGAGAAGCTTGTAAATCTTTTCAGCTCTCTGAGCTTTTTTATGCAAACCATCTCTTATTATGTCTGGGAGTAGCACTCCTGTATCTTGGTTGTAAGGCATTTCACTAGATCTTTTCTTACGAAGGATATTAACTTGCTTCACGACTTTATTGTATATTAGACCTCTTGCCTTCTTTTCACTAATTTTATTTTTATCACACAAGGCCTCCAACTGAAATACGAAATTTCTTTTATAGTAATACCAGCAAAATATTTCTTTTTGATTTACTTCCAATCTATGCTCTTCTGCAATAAACGCTTTATCACATAATCAGGTCAAATGCTGAGATATCTTTATTATAGTAGTCTCATGAAATGAAGACACTAATACATCTGAATTATTAGGATTTTTGAGACCGCACAGTCTCAGAAATTTTAGTCACACAATTTTCTTTTAGTACAGACGAAGAGATTTCTTGAATCAATCCCTACCCATTTTTTTCACTCTTCTTCTCCTTATTGCATTGCTTTATTTCACTACTAACGATTTTCTTATAAGCCTCAAGCTAGAAACTATTCATATCTTTCTCTTTCAATGATTTGCCGTTAGCCATTAAGGCATTTTGCAGGTATTTCACAGAGTTGGCAGGTACCGTAGCCACCCCTGTTACCAGTTTTTGTTTATTATAGCAATCTTTTTCAGGAAAGAAATTATCTGCTTTCACATCTACTAATGGTTTCTCATGATACCCTGCAACTGAATTAAAGTTAGATGTACTATCATTAGAAGGATTATCATTATTCGACTGTTCTTTTACTGATAAGGAAGCCCATTTTACTATTGCAAGTCTGACCTCAAGTTCTTTATTTTTGTACTAGTTCCTCAACTCTAACATCACGTCTGGTATTCCCCTCCATAATCTGCTTAGAAGCTCAGCTTTTTCAGCATCAAGCTCAGCATTCTTAGCTTCAAGTTCAATGATACGCTATTTTAATACTTCAACTTCGGATGTCATAATTGATAAATTTTATACAAGAAATTGAATATTCAAAAGTAAGTTAATACAGTATATATCAGATATAAGAAAAAATAGACATAGATTATAGAGTCACTAGATTTCTGGAATCGCGTGGTCTCAGAAAAAATGCCAAGAAAATTTACGTGATCTACTTGTAATGCAAAAAAAAATCTAATTAATGATCATGCAAAATACCTCTTAACACGTTCTGGACTAGTTAGATTATTCAGACTCTGATTCAGTTTCAGAGTTAGAAGATTCTGAATCAGAACAGCAGTAATCTTTATCAAAATTTTCAATATAAATATTTAGATTTAGCTGGTCTATGGCTTTTTTGCTAATATTTTCATATCCTTCCAAATCTAAAGATTTTAAATTGAGACATGAGCGAGCAATTTCTTCGATAGTCTTACTTGTAATATTGTAGTAACTAAGGTTGAGATGTTAAAGCTTTAGGCAGGAACATATAACATTACAAATTGATGGCTCACTAACAAAATTACAGTAATACAGATCGAGATATTCTAATGTATGAGCCAGCACTTTAGTAACCTTATCAGTGATATCATTATAGCCAATCTCTATATGTTTTAAATTCAGAGATCTTTTGATAATAGCTATAATTAATCTATCATCCCATAAAGCCATAGCACCACAAAAGTCAAGATACTCTATATTGAAATATCTTCACATTAAAGTATTAGCATCTTTGACATTCCTCTTATTATATGTAATATTAAGTTTTTGTAAATTTGGGTATGAGTTTAAAATGCAACTTATAGATTTATCTGTGATCTGACGTGCTTCGGCAAAATGAAACACTTGTATATCATGGCAATTTTCTGCGATTTCAAACAAAGATTTATTGGTAATATTTCTGCAGTAAGAAATATTTAGATGTTCTAATTTACAGCATGATTCTACAATTGCATATAACCCTTTATCAGTTATTGCCTGAGCATCCCACAAATTGAGATATCTTAAATTAGGATATAATTCCGCTATTATAAATAGTGCTCTATCACCAAAACCTATACTATTTTTGAAATCTAAATAAATTATATTTAGAAATGTATTCGTAATACTTTTTATTTTTTTATCTGAAAGTAAATAGTAATAAGTAATTTCTAGATGAGTTGTATTCGAAATATGAGCTGGCTTATTCTTTTCACACATTATTTTTACAAATATTTTCCATTAAGTACGATTTCTCTCACTATAAGTATATCCATCTGAAAAATAGTGTCTATATCTCAGGTCATTTCTCTTTAGTTCGATATATTTCCATAAGCTAGAAATGGCACATCTATACCAAAATCGATTAACAAATAGAGCGGGGTAGAGAAATTTATCTATCACTAAAAAATGTAAAATCTGTTCTAATAGTTCTGATAAATAAAAGATGCTTGATTGTGTCATAAATAATATATGCTGTATCTTTAACAAAAAATAAAATTACACATATTGGTGATGGATCTAGCAAAATTTGCCAAAGGTGCGTTGCTAGTAGCTATACATATTGATAATATCAGATATTTCATCATTTTCTGTAGACTCTGATTTTGGGTCTGAGTTGTGCTCATCTTCAGGTCCGGAGTCCTCTGATTCTGTATCACCTATAGTATAATTATCACCTGCATCAAGGCGGTCAGATTCTTGCCTTAATGCAATTCTCAAAAGCAGTTTAAGATGCTGGGGAGTTGGGTTCTTATCACTATGAATTCTGGAAGCATGTTTACTTCATTAAATAGCAAAGCATTATGTATTCCACTTTCAGTAAAAATAGAGTCAGATAACTTTATAACCTTAATTATATCTTGAATCCAGATAAGTAATTCTTTTGTACATTCTGAATTCTTTTTCATAGAAAGAAATGATTGAGGATCAGGATTCTTCTTCTTTTTGCCTCTGTTTTTTAAATAGCTAGTACAGTACTAAGAATAGCCCTCTTTATACCATGATGGAATATTCAAAGAGTCCAGTTCATAGATATTGATCTGAAGAGATCTTACTTTCGCAGATCTCATACTTAACATCACTATCACATCCGCGAGATTTTCTCTAGTAGAAATATTTATGTTCTGAATCCTTTTACTCACATTTGCTAAGGAGAAATGTATGAGAATTCTATCCAGATTAGCCATTCGCTTTTTAGTTCATTCTTTCTGAATTTTATTAGAATCTTAGATAAGATCCTTATCTTTGGCAAATTCTTCAATAATTGCAGAATCTACACCACTTTCTGATAACTTCACATGGAATGTTAACTGGCGTGAGATACTAATAACAATTTCTTTTTTATCTTTATTTTCAGATTCACTGCTTAATGATCAGTGATAATGTCTACAAAATCACTGGCCTTAGCACAGTATTCCATCCTTCCCTCAATGGTGAGGTTTTTCTTTTTTTTATCTAACATGAAAGCGTCTATCTTCTCTTTACTAAATGAATGTCTATTATTAGTACTATTGGAAAGGGCAA